CGCCCCTTCGGGCCGGTGTCGGGCCGGCGGTCCCGCCGCGGCGCTGCGTGAGCCCCAGCATCGGGCAACTTGATGCTAGCAATTTTACTGAATTTCTTTACTGTGCTGTGCTAAGGGTCTTAGCTGCTGTTGACACTGGGAAGTAAGAGGAAATGGGAATAGAAATAAACAACGATGAAGAATTAAAATAGTGGGTTTCAATTCATCCAGTTCCAACTAACTTAATAATTCCTTGAAAACAAAACTTGTATGGAAAACACAGAACATAAATGTTTTTGTCTAACAGCCGGCAAGTAACAACTAAGCAAAAAGGTGAATGGAATAGTTCTGGCTTCTCTGAAAAACAAGGTATTCCACACAATCTGACTTTCCCACTTATTTTGTACTAAATGGGTTAATCTTGGAGGCAGCTATTAGAAATATTTCAAAGGGAAGCAAAAGGCTACGCGCTCTGTTGTAATTTCAGATGCCCTCTTTGAAATGTTTTACAAATGCCTAAGTATTCAGTGTGCTTCCTTCAAGAACAATCCAGGACTTTTTAAAATGACTCACATTAGCTGAGGAACCTGAAGAGCCAAAAAATCCATTTTTGTTTTTAAGCACAGGCCCAGCTTTCACAGCACTGTTACTTGGGCTTGTTTTAGAGAGAAGCTATGTAAGACGAAATGATTCGACATAACTCCCGTGCTAGCCAGCGATGGAGGAGCTGGAGCGTTTGGCTGAGTTTCCCTTAGTCCTGAAATGTTTTCTCCAGACTAACACCAAAAAAGGTTTGCTTCTAGGTCAAGATCGCAGTACTAAATCTTAACCAGCAGTTGACAGTCAAATTTTAACGCAGCTCTAAAGCAGAGGCAATAGAAGCTCAGGCAGAGTACTTTTATTTATGTGTTTATTCTAATTAGAAAACATTCACTGAGCCTTGCGTATTTAATGATGAAAGCTATTTCTGACACAAAACTTAGCACACAGTTCTCTGTCATCCTTCAGTTGCTGCTCTGGAAGTTGGGACTGAATGACCCAAGTATGAGCAGTAGGTGTAAACACGTTGCATCAAGCAAGTTCAGGCCCCTTCCACTGATGCAAGTTTTACCCTGACTAGCAACGAGGAAAGGAAGAGATTTATTTTTACACTGTTTATTCTGAAAGTGCTGGGAAGACGGTCCGCTTCAGCAAGAAAGAGACCTCAAAGGCATTTAAAAATTGTAAGTGTTCTCAATAGCTGCCTTTTGAAAACACTGTTAAATTTTTGAGATGGGTAAATAAGTCCCCAAGAAACCAAGGCAGGAATTTTCAGAAGGGCTCAGCAGTGACAGCTCTAGTCCGCTTTTCCAGAACCCTGCTCCCATACAGGCATCTTAGGTAGCAATATATATTAAAAAAAAAAAAAAGTATTGGATGCTTTTAACAACCTGACCCTTCCTTAAATGCAAATCATTCTTTTGTTCTTTGGGGGGGGATCTAATCCTGACAGCTTTGAAAATGAACCCTGAGCTGTTTTCAAAATATAGCTCAAAGCAACTGTCCCTAAAATAAAAGTAAGCAGAGAGCAGAACTTGGAAAGCTTATCATCACCATTAGTACCACCAACTAATCCCTGCGCAAACCCCTCCCCTTTATGTAATTTGGGATTGTTACAGCTAAAACGGCTTATTGTTTTTTTTTGGTGTTTTTCTTTAAACCTCTGTCGGACAAACGCAAACACATTAAACACCATTTTTTCCTGATGCGTCAAAGAAAAAGATAAGAGGAAAAACAATTTTTTTTTTTAAGAACACTTTATAAATCACAGGAGCAACTTGATTTGTGCTGCATGGAGACCTTCTCAATCCACAAAGCACTAAATCCACGTGCTAAAAGTCCTATTTTGCTAGTGTAACGCACTCCGAAGAGCACTCTGACATCTACTGCACCTTAGTACTAACTGCGGGCCAGCGTCATTCCTCTTATTAATGAACAATGGCAAACAGAATTTAACTCATGTGCCAAGAATAACACATACATATTTTTCTCTTTTGCCAATGATCTACCTTGGACTAAACAAACAGAAAAAAAAAGAAAGAGATAAAGAAAAAAAGACACTCTCAGGTATTACTCTCCAAAGGCAAGAAACCGAGGGTTAAATCCCGAATTCCTCCTCCTCCCCAGCACCCTCTGGAAGTGGAGGAGCATTCCAAATGCACAAAACAGGCCTACGATAAACCATTCATATAGCTCCATGGCAGCTTTCGTAGCTGTGCCATATATGTACTCACTGCTGATCCATGACCCAGAAGTGCCTAGCCAGCCCAAAACTAGGTTCTCTTTGCATAGAGGATGGGTTTTCATGTTATTGAACTAACCGTTCTGAATTTCCAAAGCAGAAATCCTTCCAAGACAAAATTCAACTTTAAAAGTTTCAGTCAATGCTAAGCTGTTAACCCAATGCCGAATGCTTATGGAAACTCAGGAAGAAAAAACTAAAAACCCCATTGAACTACTTTGCAATCGGAGACCTGAATGGACTCGATATAAAACCCGCTCAGATCAACAGCAGCAATATGCTTCCCTGGATGCTGGACTAGATCCAACTTAAAAGTTTCCATGAAATAAACTAGACAAAGTGCATCAGTTGCATAGAAACTAACTCAAAGTAACAGCAGCATCTGTTCTTCAGATCTACCATTTTCTTGTATTCTTAATTTTCCACTGCTGAAGTGACACAAGTCGCCATAAGGCCCCTCCTTGCTCTGCGTGGTCACTACACACCCCCTCCCAACAGCAGCTGGCTCTGTTGCCTTGCTACGCTTTGGATGAACTAGCTGATTAAAAAGGTAGCATGCACATGGTCTAAACTACTCGACCAGTTAGCGTTCGCATGTCAAAAACAGCTTAATGTATTTTGTATGATGGCATTACAAGTAAAACTAATGTCTGCATCGAGACAGCTACGGAGCACACCTCTGAGCCGTTTATACACAGTACAAAGCAAATGTTTACCCAAGTACAAACGAAACAGGTTGACAATTAGCTAATGCAGCTTTGTGGACATAAACCAGGTACATTCGAGCAGAACCAACATAAAATAAAAAGGGAAACAGCCCTTTTCCTACCCCACGCTAAGGGCGCCGTGGTTAGTGGTTTGGGAAGTTTCTGTCACATTGAAAAATGTCCTTGCCAGTGTTTAATGTGTTTATTCTATCGCTACTCTGCTAGGATAAATATAACAGCAGCAGGGCAACGCTAGCTGTGTGCAGGACCCACTGTCAATACTACAGTAATTGACAACATACAATTAAGTCTCACACCTGTTTATTGTAAGTAATTCATAGATAACCACTTCTAGTACACATTTTCATATTAGCTTTTAATGCTTTTATTTTTTAAGCTCAGGGACGCCCAAACTTCATCTAAGGGTCATCACCGCACTTCACCCAGATCCAGAATGCTCTACCTACTATGTAAAACTGGTGCAAGTCGGTATCATTCTCAGGGGTAACAGAGATGGCTTGGAAACTACATATCCCGACATGCAACGCCCCATCAGCGTGGGCTGCTCTACGCTAAGGGGGAGAGAGAGATTTTTTGCTGGGATGCGCTGGACTTGCATGCCTCATCTTGACTGTATCAGCCTAAATCATGCAGCTGTCTGCACACAATGCTCTACAGTGCAAAAACGAAGATCTCTACACAGTTGGAGTAAGAACAGTGGTAACAAAGTCATAGCTACATATTCTTCTCTACATTTTTGTTTATTGAGACAAACTAATTAAAAGGCACAAACATAGGGCATATGTTTACATGGACATTATAACAAACATATACATTAAAAGTGTAGGAATGTGTTTCCTTTCTGCTAAACAGAAAGTTCCTAAGCTTTTATATATACAAAAGTTGTACAATTTGATGTCCTAAAGTACAAAAGATCATTTATAAAATTATTTTACACTAAGCTCTATTTTTTTTGTTTTTGTTTTTCTATGTAGTCCAAGCCCCTAGAACAGTTTCACGTAATGATACAGATACCTGTCACCTGACCCAGAAGTCTGGTAATCACTGCTTGTACTGACACGGCAGGGTAGAAACGGAAGCAGTCCATTTTGACTAGTCAGTCCCGCTAGCACTCTGTGAAATGCGCACACGCTAATCTCCATAGCTTTCAACTTCATTAGGATAAAAACATCTCAACTGTAATTTTATTTTTTTAATGTAGAGTCTTGGTTTTAGGGTGTTTTTTTAAACAAAGTTTTAAAAACGTGAATATGTGACATGATAGTCTAAAAAGTATATCTGTTTCCCTAGATTTTGCTTTCTACTTTATGTACAGATAAACAGGTTAAGAAATAAAAAGCACATGTAGCTTAAACATGTGTGATCATTTATGGAGAAGTTCTGGGCTGGATAATTCAGACCACCACCCCAGAACTCCCACAAACTGATAGAAATGTGTTAACACAATAGAAGAATAACGTAAAAATGATGATGTTTGCAAATATTTACAAAGTTGAACAGATTTGCACAACACTTGATTAAGAAGTAGGGGAGAAATTAAAAGACACTCTCTGCTTGTCCTGAAGGGGCATCCTACCTAGTTAGTGGTTAGAATAAAAACTGTATACAATTTAATATAAGACAAAACTTCTAGTGAACAACTAACACGTCTGTCCCCTGCTGCACCAGCAGGTTCTGATTGGGAGACAGAGGGCATAAAAATCATACCCAGTGCCTCCAGAATCTTCCAGCTTAAAGCAAAATTTCATAAGTTTCAAAGCACTCCTTTTGCTCCTAGATAAGAGTCCCATAGGGTTCTGACTGTTCAGAGACCATGTTTACATACATTTCAACTCCTCTTCTGTCAGCCACGGCTGTTTCTCACCAAACAGTAACAGTTTTTTTAAAAAAAATGTTGACTACTATGCTATATTCCCTTAGGGTAATATGTTGGGTAATATTTACATCTCCAAATATCAGGTCACAATCCCTATTATATGTTGAAGTTAGAATGATAAGTTATCATATGCTTTGCATATCAGAGCTGGTATCACCTTTCCCATAGGGAATGCTGCCTGAAATTATCATATTCCCAAAGGTAAAATGCATATTTTCTCCAAAATGCATTTTTAAAAATGACAACATCGTAATGCATTTACTTATAAAAAAAAAAAAAAACATTAACACAGATGAATATTCTACACTAGCTCAGAAACAACGGACTTACAACTGGCAAGTTAAAATTAGCCATCCACCCTGTTAAAGACACAGAGGGGTCTTTGCTAGTGTTTACATTAAAATAATTTTCTAAGTTATAATTTGGGGGATAAAACATAAAGCTGATTTTTAATGACTTCTTTTTTTTTTAACCTCTGGCAAGTACGTATCTGCTCTAATTCAGCATCAGTCAGCTAAAAGGTAAAAGGTAAAACTTACTTTATATGAAGTGCTCCAGTGAAACTCAAGTTTGAACAGTATGAGCCAAATCAACAGGGGAAGATGCTACTATGGTCTCTGTTGGTGCATGTTGCACCAGTGACTTAGTCTGAATTATTATTAACTAGGAAAAAAAAAACTAAAAAAAAAACAAAAAGCAACTGCTGGCAAGGATTCCATCTTAATCCTCTTTAATACTGTTTAGAAATTCTTTACCAGGGAGGAGATGTGGGCAAGGCTTGGGGCAGGAAAGGCATGCTCTCTACTGGTCTCATTGCTATATTTAATGGACCAGCTAACGTCATTGGTGTTGGGAGGTTCATAGGAGATGTTATAGTGACTGGATGTGCTATATTCACTGGAGCGGTTACTGGGGTAGGTAAATTGACTGGTGTGGTGAGCGTTAATGGAGATGTCATGGATAATGGACTGGTTATAGTTACAGGATGCCCTAAGTTCATCGGACTGGATATATTAACTGCACTTGATACATTTACTGGACTTCTCATGCTCATTGCAGCTGCCACTGTGACTGGGTTTGTGATAGTCCCAGAAGCCACAGAGGACGTTATATTGAATGGAGTAGTAAGAGTCACAGGCGTAGTAGCAGCAGTGGAGGTTTGGCACAAGTTAGCAGCTTCTAAAAATGAGACATAAAAAGACAAAAAGTTTTTAACACATAAAAAACCATGGACAAGATTTAAAAAAAAACAAACAAAAAAACAAAAAACAAAAACCAAACAAGAACAGGTACAAATTCTGGAATAATTTTCTTTAGGAATTATTAGTAAGTTAAAACTGTTAACATTCTATAGCCTACAAGAAATATAAACTCTCATGCAGTTCATTTGAATTCAATACTTTTTCCTGGGAAGTCAGGTGAGGTTGTCTTATAAAGAGGGTTTTGATGTTCATAAAAACAGTATCGTACAATCAAAAAAATCCTCCCAAGAGGAACATTATAAATAGAGGAGAGAGTGTACATACCGAATGGTACGTACTCTATAGCCTTCTCAAAGGTGAACTGACATTCTGTGAAGGTTTTAAAAAGTCATTATTAGGGACTGATAAGCAACGCTCGTTTCAATATTTACCTGCTTATTTCAGTCTTAATTATTTCCACTAAATTGTTCCACTGATCATGACACGTCTATCTTAGCAACTTCCAAGTCTACCCCGTCAGTAGCTCTTTCAACCCCCAGCACCTCCTCAGCTTTTACATTAACTACAGTTCCACACCAAAGTTGGGTTTTTTTTCTTTTCTTTTTTTTTTTTTTTACTTTGCTTTGCAGTCAGCAGGAATTAAGTGCCAGACAAGGACGAGCCAGGAGGACCCTCCCGCCCGGTTGCCGGTCGGTCTAGCAGGGGCTGGGCACTGCGGAGAGGGCACCGGCGCTCAGGAGGCGGCGAGGGTCCGCTAGGCATCAGCACCACCTGCCGGCTAGCCAACCAACCAGGCTCCAGACACTGAGGCGGGCCGGTGGACGCGGGGAAAAGAAAGGGATGACTGCTAGAGAAACCGACAAAAATATATGCCACATCAACGTTACGGCACTTTTAAGTCGTGTCTTATTCCACATTTGTAGGGTAGGACACCAAGCTCAGTCTACACCCACGTTTCAGGAGGTAAGCCAGGAGCAAAGAGTCCACTCTTGCCATGCAGGCAATACAAATGTATCAAGACCGAGTTAACTTTGAAAGCAACATTAGCCCCATTCAAGGGTTACTGTTGATTCTTCAAAGTCCATATCTAGGAGGGGTGGAGGGGATAAAGAGTAAAAAAAAAAACAAAAATTGTGAAAATAAATAATACTAGACTAAAAAAAAAAATCCCATACAGTGTGGTAAAACCAACACAACAGGTGGCACTAGTAGGGGAGAACCAGCATGAAAAGAGTAACAAATAGGCATGAAACTGCCTGCTCTAGCTTCATCTTCCAAGCAAAGTAATGCAGAAAGAAACGCCCCACCCCATGCCCCTTCCCCGATTAAGTTACATTAAACTCATGTCATCCGTTTGGCAACACTGCTCCCCACCCGCCTCCCTCACCCTCCATTCCTTCCAACACCACTGTTTCTGTTAAAGGATATTCAATAATTAACAGTAAGAGAGGCAAGGAAGGGGGAACAAGACATAGGAAAGAGCAGGTAGAAAAAGCTCAGCTCTTAAGATTTTTTAAGATTTTCTAAATCTGACATCCATTTGCTTTATCCGTTTAGTGCCTGATGCTATTTAATGTTTCTGTTATCATTACATTTTAACACAAGCAAGCTGTTTCTAAACTGTCTAATTGCAGAATTCAGTTAACTGGAATAACAATCAAGGAGAAAGGAGCAAGCAGTCTTATGCACAAATGAGACCTAGAGAAGGAAAG